GGCGAGGTGACCGCTCGGCTCTGCTCCCCAGGGCAGTACTGCAGCCCGCAGGCCGCGGCGCGGGACGCGGCGTGGCGCGGAGAGCAGCTCTCCTCCCAGCTCTACAAAAACAAGCAGGTGGGTTCCTCAACTGCGGATCGCACCTTCGTCCTCGGTTCATGGCACGGCTCCCGAGCACTGTCCTGTTTGGGTGGCTTTTGTTCCTTGCTCGAAGTATTTGTCTCCCCGCGATGTCCCGTGAAGGTGGAACAGATGTCGTGGGGTTCCCTCTTCACCCCTCCCTTCTCACAGCGTATGGCACAGGCTGCCTTGGCACAAGAAGAAAAGGAGCACCACCAGGGAGTCCCTCAGGCTCGGGTGGTGTGGATCCTCATGCTGTTGACTAAAAATACATGGTGTGTATCTTCCTGAGTCCACCAGGATTAACTTCATGAGAAATTATTCCACCAGAATTACCTACTTGTATGGAGAATCAACCATTCTGACAAGAAAGCAGTTCCTTGTTACTTTATTTGCTCTCTTCTTTGCTTTTTTATATGTCCCATCAAGGGGCAGGAGAAACCCTGAACAGCTTTAAATGTAGAAGAGATGAAGGAAGCCCAGACAGATCTTTCTGATCAAAAACCTGAAATGATATTTTAGCACATTGAAGTTGATGGAAAATCATTTACTAAGTTCAAGGTCCCTGGAATAAAACCCTAGTTCCAGACACTGTACTTCAGTGTACTTTTTTCTTTGGTTCTACTTCAATCATTTAAATCTGTTCTTTTCAGTTTGTGGTCAGCAGATGCCTGGGATCCTTGGCAGAAGGTCCTTTGTCCTCCTAAAGGAGTCTCCAGGGCTATGGTCAGGAGGAAAAATCTCTGCAAATATATAAACTTCCCATGAAAACATGTGAAGAGTCTACAAAACAAAACACACCTGTCCAGCTCTTGGGACCAGGGGTTACCTCAGCTCAATATATGTGCTGAGACAGGCACAGGAGGATCCAGGATTGAAGGGATCACCGAGTACTACTGCATCGTAAAGAACAGCAGCTGCATCTTCCTTCTGCCCTCTATTCCCATAAACTGTTAGTCTGCAGCTCCTCCTCCTCCTGTTCCCCACCAGCCAACTATAAATGGGAATGAGAGTGGTGCAAAGAGATGCCTAATGGCAGCTGCTGTCATGCCCATGACTTTCTGGGTGTTCACAGAACTACCTGTGCCTTCGTTTGGTTATTATTCTGTGGTTACAGTTTTTTTTTTTCAGAGTAATCTTCTCAAACACTCACTGAAGAATAATGGAAGACAAAAGTGAAAACTGAACAATTGTGGCACTTAGATTTAGAGAGACAAGAGGCTGGAGGGGGCGGGCTGAGTTCACAAAGCAAACACCCGTATCATCAAATCCAAGCAGCTTGTACTATAGGGCAATTGCTATTAAGTTACAGAGTCAACACCTATTCATCAATATCTCTATTCCACAGCTTCAAGATACTTTGCTTCAGAAGGAAGAGGAACTTGCTAGGTTACATGAAGAAAATAATAACCTCCGACAATACCTGAATTCTGCCCTGATTAAGTGTTTAGAAGAAAAAGCCAAGGTATTGTGTGCAAAACTGTTGCATAGATGTGTGCGGAAGAAAGGAGTTGAATATGTACAGGCCATTAAAATATAGGGAAAGAGTGTAGGCAACCTGCAGTGTGAGATCTATTTACCTTCACAGAGCTGCCAAATTGCTGATCATGGATCTAAGGTGACGGCTTCCCTCAGGGATGACATCCTCTCAGGTTCTGAGTGTGGAGACAGTATAGCCCATGACATAATTAGGCTTAGTTTACAAGTTAGTTATAAGTAAGTTAAGTTTATAAGCAAGGTAAAATTATTCCATCTAATGCTTTTATTTAGTGAAAAATTCAAATTTGAACATATATTTTTTGAATATGTTTCTTTTGTCAACTTTCCCTTTTGGTAAGATCAATGTTTCCATCTTTTATGTTTTGGCTGCTTTTTGTTTTATGTTTTGCTTTGTTATTTTTCAATAATACATTTTATTCATTTACATTAGAATGCTGATCTTCTGATTTTTTTTTTTTCAAATTTATTAATTAAAAAGTTGTGTAGGGTTTTATGAAAGGCAAAATCAAAATTAAACATTTCAGATTGAGTGAAACATTACTAAGTGTGAAGGTTGCTTTTTCATTAAATGTTTTGATTCTATGTCTCATCCAAAAGAAAGTAATGATAATTGTTTCTTGTCAGCTTAAAGATATTCTTTCTACTCCAGCCTTCCCATGAAACTGGAAATTATTTTCTCAGCTCAATGGATTTGGCACAAGGTAAAAAAGCATATACAAAAAATCTTTTAATCTTCCCTCTCTGCCTTTTTTTTTTTAAAAAAAAAAATAGAAACTGCTATCCTGCCATGGCCAAAAAACCTGTGCTGTTCTCAAAAGCACCAAGAAGAGATTAAAAGAGGACCACTGCTTTGTTCCTCAGGAAATTCCTCATGCTTCCAAAGCTAGAAGGAACCTCTATAATGAATTCACTGCCTGTGAAGAGCAAGCCAGCCCTGCTGTGGACAGCTGGGTCTTGCAGACTTTAGGATTAAAAGACGTCAACACCATTGATGAAGCTTCAGCTAACTACAGTGCCCTGTCCTCAGACACTGGAAAAGACACATACTGCCTGAGCCCTGCTGAAGCAGTAGACTACGAGCACAGTGGAGGAGCAGGAGCAGCAGCGTACAGTTGCAGCCACATCCCTCCAGCTAACAGCAGTACCCACCCGTGCAGCGAGGACTCTCCCTTCCTCACTCAGTTTTCTTCAGCACCATGTGTCTCTTCATCAGTGCCAAGTGTTTCCTCCCTCCCACCCTATGGGTTGCCCTATTTGACCGGCCATTTGTCACCCAACAAAACAGAAGTGGCCTTCTCAACGTCGTTAAGTCCCCACCGCAACGTAAGAACGCACACCTTCCACCAGGGACAGGCCTTTGTGCGCAGGGATGAGGATGGAGGGTGGAGATTCACCTGGGTGCCCAAGCAGGCTGAGTAATGCACCTGCAGTGAGGGCCAGCCATAGGGGATTGGAGGAGACAGACACTTCATCTTTTGCTTGAGACAGGTTCAGGCATCAAAAATGAGCCCTTCTGGGCTCTATTAAATGCTACTCTATCACATACCTGCTCCTTATTCCCTCCTGGACTCTCACAGGTGTGGCTCCAGAGTGCACTTGGACAAGTGTCTGCCCCAGGCCAGATGTATAAATTAGATACTCTTCTCTGGTGGCTGTGTCAAGATACCTGCTTTTACTTGTTTTGTGGTTTTTCTGTCACCAGCTGTTCCTTGTTAACTGGTGGTTTCCAGGCTGGAGTGCTTTCAGCTTTGATGATCGCTCCCATAGGCACCAAGCTGGAAAGCATTTTGGGAATACAGTTTGGAAATAGCACCTCTCACAGATAATCCACAGATGACAAAGCTGGCACGTGTTGCAGGCTGAGGATCAGCAGTTTCTAAGTGATTTGTGTCTCTCTCAGCTACACAGATTGCCTTGGATTAAGACAGTCATGGGTATTTGTTAGTGTGCTGCACTAGGCTGCCCTCCCTGCAGTTGCATGGTGCTGCCATGTTCTTTGACAATGCCTCAAAATAAATGGGATTTGCTTCTATTGCCTGGAGGCTTCTTAATTACAAGTGATTCAGCAAGTTCAGGGTGTTTTCTTAAGTTGTAATTAAGAGACTAATGTGTTTACTGCATCGTGTTTTAAAGGTATTTTATCTGCCAGATAAAGGGAGTTTTAAAAGTTTGAACCCTGGAAGAGGAACTAGAATTGAAGATGCGTTAGAGTAATGACACTGCCATCACCAGCCAAGGCCATGGCCCAACACACTGATGGCAGAAATTTTCTCCTCTGTGGGTAATGTACACTCAGAACACTTCTTTCTTCTGCAGGGGATGCATTCCCTTTGCCTACAGCATTCCACTAGTGTTTTGATGGATTTTATTCCATGTTTACCTGCCTGAGTTTGTAAGCCTCCACAAAAGCAAGGCACTCCTGCCTTCATAAGCAATTTCTGGGGCTTCTTTTGCAACATCAAGACCTGCAGTTGTGCAACTGGAAATTTTCTTTCTAGGAAAAAAATTCTTGACCCCCTTGTCCCAGTCTCTGAGATCACACAGAGATTTATCTGCAGTCCACATCAGCCCAGACTCAAGGCTGCTTCCTCCTCCCATAGGCCCATGCTTCCTATGGGAAATGTTTCTCCTGGTTTGGGGAGGCAGTATTGCTTAGTGGCTAGAGAGTCTTTAGAAACCACCGACCTCAACACCAGCTCTTGCCTCTCCATGTCTCTGCCAGGCAGTGGGGGGCTGAAGCTATGAACATCCCAACCTTGAGGATGCTTTAAATATTTCTGGAGAGAAGGTGCTCTAGCACTGCACATGACTTTTGGCAACACTTCTAATGATAGAGAGTCAACTGGTATGAGGTAAACTCACCAGTAATATGTTGTGCTACCTCTGTTTTCTACTTTACAGTAGTTTGATGCCCAAGTATTGGAAATAGAGTGATTTGGTTATCCTTGCTTTCAGAATGATCCTAGTGATGTTAAGGAAGTGCTTCAGGTGCTTCCATAATTGAGGCTTTCCTTCCAGTGGCTTATTTTCCTATGCAAAACTGGATATTCCTTTATTTTCAGAGGATAAAAATATATCCTGAATAACCTCTTGTGCCTTAGAATTGCAATATTTGGGAATCTCCATCATAAGCAGTAATGATTTAAAAAAAAAAAAAAATTAAATAAGCAAACTCTGTATTGCTGGGTAGCTACTTTGAAGTCATTAATGGGACAGATGTCCAGAATAGGAAAGTTGAAAGCATTAACTGGAGGCATTATTGCAGTGGATTTAAAAAAGATAAAAATAACAGAACAAACACACACCCACACAAACCCAAACCAAATGACCACTACCACCACAAACCCCAAAACAAACTATGCACATCGAATAAATGTACAAGTATTTGTTTGGGGGCATTGTAGTAATTAGTGAAAATGTGGCCAGCTGATGAAGACTAGTCAGACAAGACCACTGTTTTTTTGGTATTTTTCTGCTTCTCAATGAAAGCAGAAAAGAAATCCTATCCTACAAAGAACTGATCTCTTTCTCAAGAAGAAAGGCATTTCTTTTCTATTAATCTCCTCTTGCCCTAATATATAAGGTAGCATTGAAGAAAATACTCTGTCATTGGAGTTCTTATTGATGCGTAAGGTAGTGTAGAAGATGCCTGATCTCAACATGAAGATGTGGTGGGAAACCCTGCTCTGTGGTGTGGGGGGTGGACAACATGTCAGGAACAGACGGTGTGGCCAGAGGACTACACCCAACGCAGCTGTAGATACTGCATCTTTCAAAACAGCTCTAAAATACAAGTAGAGAAAGATTGACGTTTTCTAACACTATTAGATGATATAACTTGTGTATTTCAATGCTATGAAGACAGCAGCAATAATGTTTGTCATGTCAGCAAATATTAGAGAGAAAAAAAAAGATTTAAAGGGAGGAAAAGCTTTCCACCTGTTTGACATTTCCTTTCCATGTTTTTATATCATTGAACTTGAGAACTTCTGCAAAGCATCAGAAGAAAAGTGTCAGATCTTTGGTACAAACTCAAAGCAGAGTTTCAGTAGGAACAAACTGATGCTTGAACCATTGTCAGCCTTTTGTAAAGGAGCGACTGGCCCCTTGTCTCATAGCAAATAAATTATGGATGTAAGTGAATAGCTCAATGAATAATTTACCTGAATGAATTCTTTTCTTTTCTTGTGGGTTTCTGAATTTTATTCAGTATGAAGGTGTAGAGTCCTGTGACAGGGATTCCTGTCTGAGCCTGGCTTACTAGAACTCATTTGGACAGTGTGGTCCTAGGGGTGCTCCTGACCTGCACATGCAAACTTAAAATTCTGGTTTAGACAACTGTTTGAGTAAAGGTCTCTGCATGCTAATAATGCTACTTATCACTGTACCAGAGAGAGCACACTGGAGAGGAAACAGAAAAATCTCCAAACATTTTAGCAAATAACTAAAGGAGATTTATTTTTCCCTGACAGCATCATTTGAACTATTATTTCCTGAGTTATCATGAAGAATACAAACAAGCTACTCTGTGCCTGACACCAACGTACAACAAGCAAGTCAGTCCCAAGGTGAGCAAAGAGACTCTTCTGCTTTTTTGTTTCTCTGTAATACTCCCACTGATTTCAGTGGTGCAATTCTCATTGAGGATAAGTCCCAGTGACCAAGCCATTCCCTTAGATAAATGTTGCTCTTACTGCCAAAATAAAGCCTTTACTCAACACTTCCTGCTTCCTCTGAAAATCTGCATTCCTGCAGGTATAATAGAGGTGGAAAAGGAACAAGATTGAAGACATCTTATGGCAGATGACTGTTAAATGGTATGGAAGAGAGTTACTGATTGGGCTGGTGATGCTCTGAGATGTTGATTTAACCTGCTGTGTCCCCATGATTTCATTGGGCCTGAATGCAGTAAAGCTGCATTATTGTGGTGCTGCTTCCAGCTTATTTGCTTTTACTTCTTGGTAAGGCTCATGACCTTAGGCACAGGCTGGAACTTCAGCAACAACCCTACTACTAAATTCATACTAGCAAGTCTGAACGTAGCTCCTCAGTGTGTAGGCACACAGCGTAGATGTGCCCTAGTTCGAACTTGTAAAAATCAACCATAGAAACGGAGCCTGATGCATCATCTGTTTCTTCACGAGATAAAATCCTGGAAATGCATCTTGACTTTTTCAAGTCTGGGTTACATCACAGTTTTTTTGGCCTGTAAACACATGGGAAAGAAGGTCTTGCCTCTACAATGCCTAGAGTAGGCGTTGACATGGGAGTTCAGTCCTGATGCTACTTGTTTGTCCTTTTGTACGCATTCCAAGTGGGTGAAAAAGAGCCAAAGTCACCCTGCTACTCATGGAATGTGCAAAGAAAAGCCCAGGGAAACCTGTGACAATCCTAAACCACAGAGGTAGTTAGAGATCAATAGTAATGAAAGCAAAAAGTGGAAACAAAATGCAGTTCTTCATACAAGCATCACAAGTAGGTAACCAGGAGATAGCAGAGACTAAGAGTTTCAACTTTGTGCTGTACTTCTAATTTCAAAAAGTATTTGGGCATCTGGCATAGAGGCAGGAGGCAGAAGTTCCAGGTTCTGATATTGCCTCTGGTATTACACTTTGTTTCCGTGCTTTGGTTTCTATGGAATCCACCATTGGACCAGTTCATAGCATCTAAGAAGAAAATATGATTCTCGCTGCTGCAAATACTGTGAGAAGTTCCCTCTTGCTAAGCATCAGTGCTAGGCCCAGGTGCCTCCAGGATGGGGAAGATGGACTTGAACAACCTAGGGGCCCTGTGAAGTTCTTTGAGCAGTGTTGAACTTCATTGTCTGTAACATGCAACTTGTATTAACATATTTGTTTTATTTTTTTATTTGACATTTGTTTGCTTTATTGTGTGACTGTAACATGTGCAACTGTATACTTTAAAACAATCCATGTTTTTAGAAAGGTATACCAATAGAAATGAAAGTTAATTTAACACTTAATATGTTCATATTCATGACTTTTGTGATTGAAAAAGGCCATGATTATATCTAAATGTCAATTTTACCAGTGTCACTAAGCTATGGCTAATAAAACTTCCCATCAACTTGACATAATTTTTTTCTGCCCTCTTCAGCATCTATTAAACAATGCAGCTGTTGCTCACACTGCATAACATTACACCTGGCACCCACACACCTCTCCAGAGAATTGAAAGGGACCTTTATTTCCTGCAAGCACAACTGGCCACACAAGGAGGTGCAATTTTTTTTTTTTTAGTCATAATATAATGGAGGTAAACATGCAAGAGCCACAGGTTTGCTCATTTATTTTGGGCTTCTCCAGCATATTGCAGTGATCCATTATTGTTTTGACTCAGAACTGGATTTCATGCAACATAATGACTAGGACAGAAGGAAGTATTGTGCTCTTCTGTTA